CTCCAGGCGGCTCTCGGCGGCAGGGTCGACGGCGGCTGGCAGGCGCAGCAGCAGTGGGCTCAACGGCGGCGGGCGGACGTGGGGAGGCGGCGGCCGGGAGCAGCGTGCGCACGGCCGACGATGACGACGACGGCGAGGCGGCGGCCGGGAGCAGCGTGCGCCCGGCCGATAACGACGACGAGGCGGCGGCCGGAAGTGGCGTGTGCGCGATGACGACGATGACTGCAAGGCGGCGGCCGGGAGTGGGCCGACGACGATGAACAGGCCAGGTGGCGAGCCGGCCGTGACAGCGAGCGGGCGAGGCGGCGGCTGGGCGAGCCAGGCGCTGGGCGTGGCCGCGACCAGGCCAGGCGGCGAGCTGGGCGCGGCGGCGGGCCAGATGACGACGTCGACGACGCGGCGGCAGCGAGCGACCGATTCACTTTTTTTTATTTTTTTTGGTTCCGTGCGGTCGGTATAACACAACCGCACGGGATAAATCGATTATCCCGTGCGGTTGGACCGTCCGCACGCGAAAATGCCGATTTTCCCAGACGATTGGCTCCAGGCGGGCCGGACAACCGCACGGAAAAATCAAAATGCCCGTTTGGAAAAATCTTGAATGTAGTAGTGCGAAAGGCGCTCCCAATCACGCAATCCCGCCTCTCTCCTTCGTTCCCGCGCGTGGGAGATAGCGATCTTTCTGCGCGCGTGAAAGAAAAAAAAAACGAAATTTTCTATTGATAGTTTAATAGAAGGGCCCACTTTTAAGTTTTGGGGATTGAATTTAGGCTATCTGTTGAAGGAAGGAGTTTTTCACTTTCTATTTTCAGTTTAGGAAACAAAAACAAATTTTTAGACGAAAATTATAGATAATTTGTTAATGATGTTTTAAGTAGGAGTATGCATACCCAACGGAGACAGACAGACAGCCAGCAACTTTATACCTTCCCACTATACGCGCGCGCTTGGCATATTATACAATCTGGACCAGATATATACCCAATAGAATACTACTCTATAAGGTTAATTGGATTCATGTCATTATATATTCAAAAGGAATGTTAATTACGTCGTCGTACACACATTTATAGCTCTCAGATAAAAATTAGGAGTGGATTTAACCTCTTGTACCAATGACATAATATGGCGGGGTCTTGTTACATGCATGTGAGTTATGAGGGTAAATTTTCAATTTCAGTCTAATCGAAGGATATATATTCAAGCTTAACTAGGAAAAAAAGAGATAAATGGTCAAACTTTCTCCAAGAAAGTTATCCATCTGATTAACAGTCCGGTCAATTATCACTCGGCCAACAGCGCGCAAGCGTGCGTTCCTTCCTAACAAGAGCGTAAAGGAATAAGTCCATTTTAGATCACGTAATTTATTATTGAGTCTAAAATTCATCCCTGAACCACAATATTAAATATGGCGCGCCCCTCAACCACAGTAAAAAAAGACCAATGGGTGACCTCGCCGAACTCTAGGTTCACCAGTCCGCTTGTTTGATCAGTCACGCGGATGGTCGAGCTACGGTTCATGTATATACATCTGCTTCATTATTCCTATCCACAAGCCATGGAATAGTATAATGGTTATCACTGGTGGAGAAACCATTTTTGGTCCCGGTTCCATTAAAAACCAGGACTAAAAACGATTTTTAGTCCCGGTTTATAAGCGTAACAGGACTAGATGATCTTTATTCCCGGTTGGGGTTACCAACCGGGACTAAAGATCTTTAGTCCCGGTTGTCTATATGTCAAACCATGTCAGGCGGCTAGGATCTTTAGTCCCGGTTGGTAAAATCAACCGGGAGTAAAGATCTAACTTTATTCTCGGTTGGTGTTATTAACCGGGAATAAAAATCAATACGAACTATATAATCCCTATTACTTATCCTCTTTTCCCGTCCACACAACGAACTCTTTCTCTATCTCTTTTTTCCTCTCTAACTCCCTATCCTTATCCTTTCTTCTTCCTTCTTCCTTAGTTCTTCTTCTTCCTTAGCCCGCTTGGATCGGAGCGAGAGAGGCTAGCCGCTTGGAGCGAGAGCAGGCCGGGTGGCAGCCGGCGCGGCGGCGCGGAGGGACGGGCGGCGGTGGCCGGCTGGCGCGGAGGGGAAGCCGGCGCGCAGCAGCGCGGAGGGCCGCGGCGGCGGCGCGGGGGCCGGCCGGTGATGAGGGGAGGCGGCGCGGCGGCGGGCAGCGGCGCGACAGCCGGCGGCGGCGCGGCGGCGCGGCGTCGGGTAGTGCCGCGGGGGCCGGCCGGCGCGGAGGGGAGGCGGCGCGGCGGTGGCCGGCCGGCCGGCTCCTCTGTTGTGTTTTTTTTTAAGAATTTGTGATTTATTGCAGGATCATGTGATGAATTTGATTTGTGTGTGATGTGAACTTGTGATATATTTGTGATGAATTTTGTAGAAACTTGTGATGAATTTGATTTGTGTGTGATGTGAACTTGTGATGTATTTGTGATGAATTTTGTAGAAACTTGTGATGTAATTTGATTTGTGTGTAATTTTTTTTAGGATTTTGTGATGTAATTTTTTAGAACTTTAAAATTTGTGATGTAATTTTTTAGAACTTTAAAATTTGTGATGTGGATTTGGGATCTTACTTCGATTTGGGATATGCAAACCACCCATATTTAGAAGAAAATACACCCAGATTCAGGAGAAAATAAAAAAGGAAAAAAAAACCTGGCTATCCTCTTTAGTCCCGGTCGGTAACAACAATTGGGACTAAATCTTTAGTCCCAGTTATTTCAACCGGGAATAAAGATGCCCATCTTTAGTTCCGGATTGCTACTCCCGGTTGGAAACCTGGGACTAAAGGGTTCCCCAACCGAGAGTAAAAAGGGTTTCTCTACCTGTGTATGGAACGGTGTTCTCGATCAACTAGCTGGCCAGGAATCGATTCCCACCAAACGATAGCAGAGCTGATGGTTCGGGGCGGTAGGAGCGAGATAGCGGGGCTGGTGGATGGTGGTCAAAAGCTGCCCGGCCACCCCCGTAGTTGGCCTTCTCATCGCCTGCTGCAGTGTTGCCTGTATGAAGAATGGCATTACACCAAGTAGCCCACGCACTGACTTCAGCTCGGCGCTCCCCACCTTGCCATGACGTGTGCCACCTGGATGCGGATGAGGTAAAGGTGAGAGCCGTATAGCAGCAGCAAGGTTGCATTGGCGTGGCCGTAGGGGAGCGTGTCGAGCCGCACAGCGTCCCTCCCCGCATCCGACATCGCCATCGTCGAGGGCATCACCACCAAGCGCCTCCGCCAGCTACTGCTACGGAGGGTCCCATCATAATATTTTTTATTTTTAACAAATATATGCACGAACATGTGGGTCCCACATTTTTTCCTTGATTTAAGTGTCACCTGAACACCATGTAGGCGCTGAAACCGTATTGGAATCTTATTTACACTGGTTTTGAAAGTTGAGGGACACAACTAATTTTAGAATCGACGATAAATTGAAGGACCTCAAGTGAACTAACTCCGAGGATAAATCCACATGGAAAAAGTACACCCAAGGTCCCTCAACTTGTTATCGGGATAAAAAACGTCCTCAAACCGTAAAACCAGATACCGCGAGTCCCTTAACTATACAAAACCGGTCACAATAGGTCCCTCGGTGGTTTGATCCCGGTTTACTCCTACGTATGCTGAGTCAGCGTGGAACCCACGTGGGTCCCACATATCAGGAGTCCACGTCATATCTCTTTCCTCTCTTCTCTTTTCCTTCCTCCCCTTTTTGCTCTCTCTCTCTCAGGCTGGGCCGACGGTGAGCGGGGCTGAGTGGCGAGACCATGACGGCGGCCGCGCACACCACTCCCACCTCACCGCTGCCGCCATGAGGCCCGAGGCCCCGAGCGCGTCGTCCCCCAACACCAGGCTCGCCGCCTCATCGCCCGCGACGACCTCGCCGAGGCCACGCGCCTCGTCGACCGCTCACGCGGGGAGGCACCCGGCGCCGCCGTCGCTGCCTTGAAGACAAACGCCAACGTGCCCCCTGTGCTGCGCCGACGTGCCGGTTCCGGCGAGGCCGACGAGCTCGACGATGGCGAAGGGGAAGCAGCAGCAAACCGCGGACAGCGCCTTCCTCCTCATACAGCCTCGCCGCCGGCCTCTCCGCCTCTTCTCTCTTCGTGCCCTCGCCGCTGGCCTCTCCCGCGCCGTTGCAGCCGTCCCCTACCCGCCACCGCCACCGCCGGAGAGGCCACCCCCACCGCCAACGCCGACGACGAGGCCCGCACCCTCCTCCCTCGCCCCGGAGCCGTCGACGACGACAAGGCCTAGCGGTACGGAGTCGTCGGCGCCGCCTCTCCCCATCCGCAGCCGCGCTCGCCCGCCGCCGCCACCGCTCTCTCTCACCGACGCCACGCCGCTCCGCCTCCGGTGACCTCATGTGCGTCGTCAAGCGTTTCGTCGACACCAACGGCGGCAGTGGCGGCGGGGAGAGGAGCGGCACGCGGGCGGGCGCAGGCGGCGGGGGAGCAGCGGGGCGTGGCCGGCGAGCGAGGAGGTCGCGCCTGGGCAGCGCGTGCTGGGCTTGGAAGCACTTTCTCCAATCCGGTGACCGCGGCAGCGCTAGGGTGATTGACTACGCCCTCCTCCTTGACAACCACCTCGGCAAGCGCCTGACCGCCGACCGCCCGCGCGCCGCTGCTCCCTCGTCGCCTGCGCCCGCTCGTGTGCCGCTCCTCCCCCGCCGCCTCCGCTTCGCCGGTTGCCGCGCTCTCGCCTGCCTGCCGCCACCGCCACTCCACTTTGCTTCACCGACCGCCGCGCTCGCACGCCGCCTCCGTCGGCCGCCGTGGCGGCGCCGCCCTCCGCCTCTCCCGCTTCGCCCCGGCCGCCGCGTTCGCACGCTGCCTCCGTCCTCCGGCTTGTAGAGACAGTGAGAGAGAGATGAGGAAGGGAGAGAAAAGGGGAAGGGAGGAGAGGAGGCTGACATGTGGGGCCCACGTGGGTCCCACACTGACTCAGCTGCCACGTGGGATAAAACCGGGATCAAGGTGACCGGTTTTGTATAGTTAAGGGACCTCGTATATCTGGTTTTGCGGTTCGAGGACGTTTTTTAATCACGCTGACAAGTTGAGGGACCTTCGGTGTACTTTTTCCAATCCACATTTGCAACAATCACGGTCACATGATGCGCGTGTGTTACGAGCATGGCCCATGTATGTGACAAAGCCCAAGTTCATCAGTCTCCCACTCTCTCTGCACCCAGCCCAGTCCGAGCAATTTCTTTTACGTTGGGCCGAGCCCACCATCTCCTGCTAGCTCAGCCCACTTAGCTCCGCCCCCAACCCCCCTCCACCTCGTCGACGTGCTCAGTTCCGGCCGTTCACCGCCGCCTCCATCTCCCTCCTCGAAGCGCCTCCGCCGCCGCCGCCGCCGCCGAGGAGAGGTGTGTGTCGGCGAGCCCCTCACCTGACTCCAACCGCCGCCTTCGATGGGGCGCGTGAGGCCTCTCCACCACGCGGCGAGGAGGCTGCTGCTGCTGTTCCCGCGGCCGAGGGCCTTCTCCTCCGCCGCCGCTGCCGCGCCCTCGCGCGAGCCGCTCCACGTCTGCGTCGTCGGCAGCGGGCCCGCCGGGTTCTACACGGCCGACAAGGTACGGGCTGCTACCTCTCTTCCTATAGGGTCCTTTCTCCAATTTCCCCACTGTAATGTAGTTGTCAGATGACCTGAAATCCACTTCTAGTTTGCTTCTGAAGATACTTGCTTGTGAAATTATTTTAGTCTGAGAGCGTGTAGATGTCAAATCTCAAATGTGGTGGAACCTAGAAATATTATTTTGCTCCAACATGCAGATCAAAATGCTGAATTCTGAACCATGTTCTGTTACCAATTAACGCACCTGAACGCGTCATTGCTTATGTTTCGCTGAATAAAGAAAAGTACATTGGCAGGCAAATTTTGTTGCAAATCTGTTCCTTTTGCAAGCTATTGTACCCTTTCTGAACTTCTGTGGGTGTTTATCGAGTGCTCTTATGGTGGATTGAGCAGATGCTTAAGGGCCATGAAGGAGCACAGGTCGATATTATTGATAGGCTGCCGACACCTTTTGGGTTAGTTCGATCTGGAGTGGCTCCAGATCATCCAGAAACAAAGGTGAGCGTTCTCCTTATTATTTTATAACCACCAAACTCAAATTTGATCTATTATTAGTCTATAACAAGTCGCCACCAGTAATTTTAGGTGAGCGAATCACGTTTTGCTTAGAGGTTGTGAATCATTTTCTATTTCTTCAGTGGCTGCATCATTTTTAAGAAGTTTCTAGTCAATTAGACCAATATTCTGCACATGTGGTTCTCTTGTTCTTATCAACAAACTAGTGCTGACTAGGCTGCTACTAAATGCCTTCTCACCAGTGTTATCTGATCGTCTGATTAATCGTCCTGATCGGTCCCCTAACTCCGATCAAGGACACTCATTCGATCAGAAATCTGATCGTCTGATTAATCTTTGATAAAGCACGACTAATTGTCCGATCAGAGCACCTATCGATCACTTTTAGAACAAGTGTTAGAGTTTAGCACATGTGAATATGTGCTACTACTGCTACTACTGCTGGTTGCTTTATACTCCCTCCGTCCCAAATTATAAGGCCTATATTTTTTTACATGATCTTCAATGATATACTTTGACCAATAATTTATTCCATGTTATGTTCCCAATGAATATGAAATTAGCATCACATGAAAATAATACAAAATATGAATCTAGTGATATAACATGCATAATACTTAGCATAGATATGGTTAATATGATTATTAGTCAAAAGCTATTGAGTTTGATTTCCTAAAAAAGAGAGCGTCCTATAATTTGGGACGGAGGGAGTACTTTGATTGCTTTATACTAGGGCAAGTAAGTGACCATCTTACCATCAATTATTAGTACTTTGATTGCTGTATACTATGCACTATAGGTTCTGGTATACATGGTACCGATCAGGTCGATTAATCGAGGTTGATCGACGATTAATCATCCTGGTCGGTCCCTTGGCGATCAGGATCGATCAGCGATCAGATAACATTGCTTCTCACATCATGGTTTTATCCACCTTCTCTATATGCATTTTTGTAACACTAAATGCATTTCTTAGAAGATTAAGTTCACCTTAAACTTTCCAACAGATTGTGGTAAATCAATTTTCTCGTGTAGCTGCAAATGACCGCTGTCAATTCTATGGGAATGTAACACTAGGAAGGGATGTATCTCTATCAGAGCTTCGGAAGACATATGATGTTGTAAGTTTTAGACTATAGCCAAGTGGCTACCTTTTTGTGGCAAACTGATATATATCTTTTACCATCATTTCTGACTGTGTTACACTGATGTATTTACTGCTGGACAGGTTGTTCTTGCTTATGGTGCAGAAAGTGATAGGTCACTTGGTATTCCTGGGGAGGTATACCTAACTTGGATTCCCTTGGTCTCTATGTCAAATATTGTTTATGGGCAACTGTAGTATTTTGTTATTTGTGAACAATTGTTCGGAATTTGTTTATGTATCTTTATGAGATGGTTGTGTCTAGGTATCGCTTAATAAAGAGAGTGCATATAACGTTTACAACCATACTAACACAAAGTGAAAGAGACAAGATAAGTTGTGTAATCACCAAATAATTGCATGCAGGGAATAAAACACTGAAGAAACAAAATTCATGTATTTATGCTGAAACAGGATGTCACAAGCCATTGAAATAACAACTTTTTTATTTCGGATATTGGCAAGATTGTGTAGTGCTATCAATTTATCTTATGATTTTCGTTTTGTTTTTTCATCATGCGTGTGAGTTGTTTATTCTCAGTGTCATCTTTGTTATAGGATCTGAGGGGAATACATTCGGCTCGAGAGTTTGTGTGGTGGTATAATGGACATCCAGACATGTGCAACTTGGCACCTGACTTGCAAAGCACAGATTCTGCTGTTGTTCTAGGCCAGGTGTGTTGATTTTATGATTGCCAACAATCTAACATGCTGCCAAGATAATTGTTTCATATATTCTATTTCTATTCAAAGTACAGTCTGTCTATGGTTTCATTTGAATTGAAGAACTCTTCTGGTTCATTAAAATTGGCAGATTTATTTGTAGATATATCCTGTAGAAGTATTCCCAGAATTTTAATGGAGAAAATCTTCCTTTCATATATGATTTCTGGCTCCTTCCATTTGAGGTTTATGTTGTCTGCACTCTGCAGTGCTTACACTTCAGCATTATATAGCTGTGTTAGACACATAAGTTCAAGTGTTCATTATCCTGAAGAAAATTTGTTTTGTTTCTGCTAACTTACTGCAAAAGAAAATATCCTTTTATGGGAAATGTGTCATGTGCCCAGTTAAATATTCTTTTTTTTGGCCCATCCTTTAATACCAGTTTTCTTCTGTGCTTCTGATGATATGCAGGGAAATGTTGCTCTTGATGTTGCCCGTATTCTTCTTCGTTGTACATCTGAGTTGGCTGCTACAGATATTGCTGATTATGCTTTGGATGCTCTCCGTGGCAGCACAATAAAGTGTGTCCAATCTTTTGAATTTGAAACAACATGTTCCATTTTTTCAATCCCTTCCATCAGTTCAGTTTTAATGGATGATAATATTTGTATTGCATTTTTTTTGTATGTAAAGGAAGGTATACTTGGTTGGGAGAAGGGGCCCAGTACAGGCAGCATGCACAGCTAAAGAACTACGTGAAATTTTAGGTAGTTTGTTTTACTGTTTCATTAGCTGTAGCTTAATGTTGTCTGTATTAGTTTTCTGTCATTTTAAATAATGAATGTTTGATGCATATATGCAGGTTTGAAAAACGTCCATGTCTTCATCAAGGAGGCTGATCTTGTGACCTTGCCTGCAGATGAGGTTTGTACAATGACATGAGGTGTTTCATGTTGCTACTGGACCTGTAACTGTTCTTTTCGATATTTATTCTGGACTAGAGACCTCATTTCCTAATATTTAAATTCATAACGAAATAAAACTTACTCATCCATGTTGGTAGCTACTACAGTACCTTGCTGTCAACATGATGCCAATTTGGTTTTCGGAATGTTCCATCCACCTTCTCTCTTAGGTTATCTTGCTTGTGATTGTGATAGAGCAAAGCAATCTGATTGCAGGAGGAGATTAGGAATAGTAGAATTAAAAGAAGGGTGTACGAGCTACTATCTAAAGCTGCAATTGCGCATAAAGGAAAGAATAATAATGGCCAAAAGGAGCTTCACTTTGTGTTTTTTAGGAGACCTACCAGATTTCTCCCATCAGAAGATGGTGTGACAGTTGGTGCCGTGCAACTTGAAAAGACTTGTTTAAAAGGTCAGATGTCAGAAACGAAATACCATATCTTTGCAGACTTTTTTTAAACATTATTCTGTTGGTTATATAGATGATGGTGTGGCTGGAAAGCAGGTCGCAGTTGGAACTGGTGAGTTTGAAGATCTAAAATGTGGGTAAGTGCTTTGGTTCATACTTTCCTGAGTTTTTTTGACCAGGCAGCTCTATGGGGTTTCCTAGATTCATTTAATGTATTTTGTGTCTTCTTAGACTGATCTTGAAAAGTATTGATTACAATCCTTGGGGTGTGTAGATTCATCTAATAATCTTTCTTCTTCTTAGATTGGCCTTTAACAGTATTTGTTACAAATCCTAATACATATCTTTCTTCTTAGGTTGGTCTTGAAAAGTATTGGATACAAATCCTTGCCAGTGGAAGGTTTGCCCTTTGACAAATACAGAGGTGCATGATATTACCTTTGTGTTTACTCCCATGGAGCTTTTTTGTGTTTGTTTTATCATTTAATCCTTTAATAAATTTTGTAAATACAGTTGTGCCACAATCCTTTGTTTATTGCAGGAATTGTCCCAAATTTGAAGGGCAGGGTTTTGAGTAGTGAATCTGAGAATGCCACAGTGGAACCAGGGCTGTATGTGGTGGGATGGTTAAAGAGAGGGCCAACTGGCATAGTTGCCACAAATCTCCATTGTGCCGAAGAAACAGTATGTGCCTTTTTGTTTTCTTATGTTCTATCATTGTGTTTGAGGAGGTTTATGGGCACCCTGATGCCTGAGTGTAACTTTATAGTTGCTTACCTTAAATCTTATAGTAGTTTTTTTGGTTTACTCAACAAATGCCTTCAAATATATCTTGGAGTAGCTTGATTTATTCGTTTTGAAAGTTCCAACATGGAAGTTCATTAGGTCCATATACACCTCAAATCCTCAATTATTGTGGATTTGCTCATCCACTACTGTCTTTGCAATGGAATAGCTACTTTGTAGAGGAAGGCTGTTCTTGTGAAATAATCATGATGACTCTTTTTCAGGAGTTATAGTTCTTGGTTAGCTGATAATTTTATTTCACTAACAGACTATCTACATATTGTACTTACTGTTATATACAGGTGGCGAGCATCCTTGAAGATGACAAGAAGGGGTTGTTCATGGGACCTTCTGATTCAAAAAAGCAAGGCAGGAGGGGACTCCTTGAGATTCTAGAACAAAAGAACATCCGCTTTGTTCCTTTTGATGGCTGGGAAAAGATTGATTCTAAGGAAAAGATGGCAGGTGAGCTGAAGAACAAACCTAGAGAGAAGATAACAACCTGGAATGAAATCCTGATGGCTTCAAACTAGGGATGAAAGTGAGGGCAGTCAATTTTGTTCTCTAGCATGTCTTGTAGAATTACATTAAAGCCAATTCTGCTCTTATAGAGATACCAGGAATAAAGTTTCAACTGACTTTGGCATAGTACACGGAAAAGCTAGAATGGAAAGCTGTAACAAGTGAAGTATTGCAACAATGTGCAAAAGTGGTACTTCTTATCATACAAATGGTTTCTCACTGTCCTGTGGTATCCATTTTTGAAACCTGGAGACAATTCGTTGCCAACTTTGGAGAAAATATTATTCCTGACAATATGCATAACAATTCATATTATCTGTGCTTGTTGATGGCTCGGCTGGATTCATATTTTCCTGGTTGCTTGACTGCTTATGGCTTGTGTTTTGAAATTGCACTTCTCCTTCCAATTGAGCGTTCTTACCTTGGAGTATGCACAATTTCAATAACTGTACTCTCTTTTGCTTATGTGGTCACAGACGTCACAACATATGGAGACAAACATCACACGATTGACATGTCCAAAAAAAAAAGTGTACATGTTCAGGCAAAAAATAAATAATTTTGTTCGACGTAGAAAAACAATCAAAGAACTACACTGCATGTAAAATGATCTCTCAGATAGAAGCAAGCCTAAAAAGGGAGTGTCCCTGAAGCCAGTAGCCGTTGTAACTTCAACTTCAGATGCTTTGTGTAGCTTACATGAACATATCCTCTCTCTTTTTTTAATGCAAAATGCGCCCCTTATGAAGTAAATTTCATCATATATTCTGTATGGTTCCACAAAAATCATGGAAATGCTGCAGTTTGATCTCATTAAGGGGCTTCTCTTTTTTTTTAATGCAAAATGCGCCCCTTATGATGTAAATTTCATCATATATTCTGTATAGTTCCACAAAAATCATGGAAATGCTGCAATTTGATCTCATCAAGGGGCTTCAGGATAGGAGCAGGTAAACTTCTAGTTGTCATTGCTTGACAAACCTGCTGCATTGTTGGCCGGGATTTTGGGCAGATTTGCAGGCAAGCAAAAGCCACCAGAACAAGCAGGATGATATCCTTCTCTTCGGTGGTCGGCGCCATGATGCGTTGGTCCAGGATATCCTTGAGCTTTGTATGTTGTTCTGTTCGGCAAAAGAACGGTAGCAGAAGATCTCCAGGATGTTTTCCCATCACCACTTCCAGCATAACCACACCAAAGCTATACACATCGCACTTCTCCGTTAACACCATTGTAGATGACAGTTCTGTGGCAAAAAAAAAATGTTCTGCTAGTTAAGAAAAAAAACTTTTCTATACTAGTATTTCTTTTTATGAATTAAGTGTCCCTTTGAACTGTAAAAATTCTACAAGATTTTTGTACCGATCAGTTCAGTTCCAGCCGGAATCTAAAAACTTGCCAAGTTACAAAGATATTTTGCTTGATAAATCATGTCACATTGTCATCTTAGCTAAGGATTAAAAAGTATATGTACCTGGGGCTATGTAGCCACATGTCCCTGCAAAGATAGTGCTCCAGCTAGATGAATTGTCCTTCAACTTCTTTGCCATGCCGAAGTCGGATAAATAAGCCTTAAAATCATGGTCTAGCAAGATGTTGCTACTTTTAATATCGCGGTGCACGATCGGATCATCACAATCATGGTGCAAGTAAGAGAGAGCTTGAGCTATGTCCATCACAATAGTGACTCTTTTACACCAATCAAGTTCCTTTGCCAATTCTTGGTCATTCCAAATGGACGCTAAACTTCCTCTTTCGATGAGATCGTATACAAGAAATTTGCACTGTGAATGAGAGCAGTAACCGTGCAACTTGACAATGCGACGGTGCCTGATTTTTGTCAACACTTCAATCTCAGCAAGAAATGCTCCAATGTCAAAGTAATCTTCCATTCTGTGAAGCAGCTTGATGGCAAATACACCTTTTCCTTGGATCTCAGCTCTAAGACAGATCCATAACTTCCAACACCGATGCAGTATTTTTCATCAAAATTTTCTGTTGCGTAAAGTGCATCTTGAAACGCAACCTTTGCATCAAAGTTCCATATGGAAACGAAGTCTCCAGGGATGATTTCTTTGCCCTTTTTTGCAAGTTTTCTTCTCCAACAAACCACTGTGATGCTTCCACCCACGAGCCAGATGCAAGAAAACATTGCAAAGGCAAGAAGTAGCCTCGGAACAAGATGTTTACTGTCGGAATTTTCATTTGTATGTAAACTGTCAGGATTTGGATTTGATGGTTGACATGGTGTCAAGCCATATAATGGATCACCACAGATACCTGTATTATGGTCTAGTGAAACTACAGAAGAGGCTTCAGTTGTGTAGAAACCAAAAAATCTGCCGCCCAAACTGTTGTATGATAAATTCAGCTCAAGTAATCGGTAAAGCATCATGAAAGTCATTGGTATGGCACCACTTAAATTATTTCTGCTCAAATCCAACTCAGTTAGGTCGGTACAATACCCAAGCTCTTCTGGTATTGGTCCTGTCAGTAAGTTGTTTCGCAGGCGCAACAAGGACAAATGGTGAAACTGTCCTATCTGAGGTGGAATGCTTCCCGTAAACTGATTGCTGCTTAGATCTAGAACAAAAAGATTACGTAGAAATCCTAGTTCTGGTGGCAGTATAGCATTTAGCACATTGGACTCAAGTTTCAGTGTTATTAAAGATATAAGTTTCGAAAAGGTTGAAGGGATGGGGCCAATGATTCGGTTGTTGGAAAGATCCATGTTTTGTAAGCTCGTTAGATTTCCTATACTTTCAGGAATGGAACCCGTGATTTCATTTGTGGAGAGATACAATTTTATTAAACTCCTTAAATTTCCTATACTTTCAGGAATGAAACCCGTGATTTCATTTATGGAGAGATACAATTCTATTAAACTCAAATTTCCTATACTTTCAGGAATAAAACCCGTGATTTCATTTGTGGAGAGATCCAAGGACTTTAAACTTGTTAGATTCCCTATGGTTGTAGGTATGGAGCCATTGATATTATTATGATCCAGATCTAGCGCAACTAAACTATGAAGCATCCCTATCTCACGTGGAATATGACCAAAAAGATTGTTAAATCCAAGATCTAGAAAATACAATCTAGCCAGGTTTCCCAAACTGGAAGGTATTGGGCCAGTTAAGCTGTTGTGGCTTAAATCAAGGTACTGCAAGTTATGTAATGTGTCAGGCAAGCAACTGAGTATCCCTTGTGACAAATAATTGTTAGAAAGCTCAAGGAATCCTAGGTTCGTAAGATTACCTATCGATGGCGGGATGGATCCAGTGAGCTTATTGTTAGAGAGATCCAAGTACGAGAGCTCAGCAAGACGACCAATATCAGACGGAATTGGTCCATAGAGAGAGTTAATGCTAAGGTCGAGAAAGACAAGATGAGGCAATTGTGCAAATCGGAGCTTGCTCAAACCACCGGAGATGTTACATGAGAAAAGTGTAATGTTTGTCACAACTAGGATGGCATCACGCTCATGGCCACGGCGCACCTTGTAGCTGCAGTATATGCCTGACCAGTTGCATGGGCTGGTTGCGTTGCTCCATTCCTCTAGCCCGCAGTAGGAGAGATCGCCCCTTAGACCAGATTTCCATTGGAGAAGTGCTTCAGCTTGGCGATCCAACGCAGGATTTGCAATTGCAAGGCAGGAAAGACACTGCAGCGAAATCAGCAGAACCAGCAATAGCTCCTGTGAGGCAACTAGTCGTCTCATCTTGTGTTTTGAGTGGCAGTGTAGGTGAAGCTCTAAAACACACATAGTACATATTGATGGGTCGACAGAAAGCGAGAGCCACTTTAACCAAGGAGACCTTGACTCTGACTGACTTCAGGTAAATGGATCAATAATGCACGCTCTTGACAGGACTAGTGGAGTCAGTCAATGCCCCAAGGAATGAGGTCCACCTCCATCACTCCATGTGCAAGACAATGAAATCCCTGGCTCATACAAGAACACATCGTTGGCACGTTTAGAAAGGAAATCCGCATGTAGCAGTTCCATAAGTTCATGTTTAGTTGGGAGGTTATTTCTCTGTATGGATATCTTTAACAATATTCCAAGACATTGGTTAGAGGGCAATCGCATGCTTTTCGCCCACCCTAATAAGCTTTAATTTTTTCTTTTGGCTGCTCCTCTTAAAGTTTTTATAGCATCTCAGCAATAGACCTTATTTTGAAGCCCCTAAAAGTTAAATGTGGGCTGCCCCCATTTCCCAAGGACAAAAAAAAAAAAACCTCCAACTCCACCAGTAGCCCCTATTTCTTAGCCTCTATTCATGTTTCTCTTGTATTTTAAAATACAATCTATGTTTACACTATGTTTAACACCACAATAATTCAAACTTAAATATTTCTGACACGTATAATTTAACCATACTTAAATTCACAATTTCAAAGTACACAATTCAAATTCAAAATCAAAATTTTCAAACATGTAAATATGGTGTGGTGGCAATACCATATACTCATTTTTCAAACATGTAAAAATTTTTGGAGCAAGAGATGCAATAAAATTAAAATAGACTAGTAGCAAATGCCAAAGGCCCATATACTGTACACTGCTGCTGCTTCTTTTATGCATCAGTTCAGTAAAAAGACCTTGTTTTCCAGTTTTTAGAATATTGAGTTATTGATCCAACCTGTCACTAATTGATGCAATTATCGATGAGTAATGCACATTAGCAATAGAAGGTTGATTTCTGCAGATTAATGATTAAATTACAAGATTCATAACCATGGAAATAAAATGCAAAGGGGAAAAGGGGCAGAAGGAAGTGGAGCAGCGATGTGCAAAGTATAGATCTAGACGAGCGGCAGCGTGGGATGTTGATCGCCGGAGTTGATGAGTGCGAGGTTGACGACGGCTTACGCAAAAAAAAAGGAGAATGGCAGCGACGGCGCATCCAAGGCGCGAGAGAGACGAGAGAAGTGCGCGCTTGGGATTTTCCACCGCGCCAACAAAAAAGAGGAGAGATAGGGGCTGGGCCTAGAGTCCCCAGGATTAAGGGCTAGGAGGCGAAATTTGGGAGCTTTCCTATTTTGGGGCCTTTTATAGGAGCCCTGGTGGACCTTTATTTTTCTTCCTTCACCTCAAAAACTCTTTGGGGGCTTAATTTAGGTGCTCTGCTGAAGATGCTCTTCACTCTTTGTGGCTTTCATTTGATTTGTAATCTGCAAACCTTTTTCTGTTTTGGCCATGTGGTCAAACTTTTCCATCTCTCAATACCGTCGCAGTTTTTTTTTTAAAAAAAAACTTTAACAATATAAACCAGAAGCTCATTGTTTTGATGGAGTTTCTTGATTTTTCTTTTATTTCCCCAACAAAAAAAGTACCTGTACTATATTGAGCTTTGCATAATAAAAATGCACAAGGTGTGACTGTACATGATATATCAATTTAGGCTCATTAATTTATTTTAGCTTATATGCATGGTTTATAAGCCACTGTTTCTAAACCTTAAGTTCAATGATGAAGTTCAACCTATTATTCACATAAGTTAAAAAGAAAAAGCTATCTCCGATCATGGGTTATTCTCCAGAAACCCAATTTGCAGGACTTTGTCACTTCGGATTGTCTACATTTGGAGCAAGTGGTCAAGGAGTTTTTTACCCCGGTATATGGGTGGCGACCTAGTCTTCGGGTTGTAGGGCCTTGATCTTGCACGCTGTTTTTATTCTCTTTTATTTTGAGTGTGTTGGAGTTTGTTGGCTGTGTGCACTGTCGTGGTGCAGAGGCCGGGAGTATCCTTGGATGACTAAGATCAATAAAGCTTCTATTATCTAAAAAAAAGAAAAAGCTACGCAAACAAAATCTAACTTTTGCATGTCCTGCAGGGCACATAAATTAAACCCCAAATAATTTTTGGGTGAAGAGGAAAAAATCAAGATCCAACAAAACCAGCACTAAACCCTCAAAATAGGAAGACACCTAAATCCCACCTCTCAGCCCTCAATCCTAGTGAATTTGCTAATTAGCGCGTACGCATTGGCAGCACGGACACTGTCAACAGTCACGGCGCTAGTCCTCCCCCCTTTTTTTTTTGGGAAATAGGCACTAGTTTCTCTTTTTTTTCTTGGAAATCACTCCCTTTTTTCTCCACACACACATGCAATTTTCTTTGCGATATTTTGTAAATTGAATCTTTCACCTTCAATATCAGTTGAGAGATTTGAATTTGAGTTGAAAGTTTTTAAATTTAAGTTGCATGTTTTAAATTTGGTATGAAAGTTTTCAAATTTAAATCGAATGTTTTGAATTTTGATGTGAGAGTTTTTAAATTTGAGTTAAAAGTTTGGTAGCGCTATTCCACGCGCTACAGCGCGGAATAATAATTCGAGCGCCGCACACCGCCTTCTCCTTCCGGTTTTCCCCTTTTTTACCACCCCACCTGTCCTCCGCATCCCACTTTTTCTCGGTTTGTTTTTTTCGTTTTTTACCACCCCACCTTCCGTGTTTCTTTTTTCTCTTTACCGTCTTATCTGTGCTTCATCAATGGGCCCGGTAAAATATTAACTATCCAGATTTTTCTGTTATTCATTCCTTCTCTAAAGTTTTTCTGTTTTCGCGTTTTAGTAAAATATTTACTGTCTAATTTTTCTTTCCAAGTTTTCCGTTTTTCTAATATCTCCGCACGTTTCAAAAGTAACGAATTTACTCATGGAGTTTTTCATTTACTCCCAGCCTCCCACATCTGCTTATTCTAAAGTAACAAATTTATTCGCATGAATGTCTCTACATCGTATGATGCCATACGTAAATGGTCGTAAAAGAATTACTACCAGCTTACAACTCTAGTACTTCTTTTACCAATATTATTTAGATTTCGTGGTCTGCGAGTAAAACAATTACCATCTTCCTCTCGATATAGCCATGATCTCATAGCCACTGTGTAGTAATATGTTTACTGATGTATTCAATATATAGTATTAGTGTAAAAACTGATACTAAGAGTATTGTTGATCTGTATCACAAAATAGTCGTATGAATGAAAAAATTATAGGCTCAATCACACACAAGCGATAAAATTACTCACAGGTGAATCAAACTAGAAAAGAAAAAAAATGATTCAGCCAAAAATCCATCATGGAAGGATGTAGCGGTGTAGTATAGAGATGAGCTTGACGTTGCGCAATAGCAGCCATCCATCATCTAACAAGCACAAAAAAATGCAAAAACATTCTCGTTCATGTCAATACAGATGACGAGCAAAAGAAAAATAGCAAACAATCTCCATCACCGGTGGACTCCACCCTATCCTCTACGGCCAGCCACATGGAGCACGATGTGCAAATGTAGGACTTGTGCAACCCATCAATTGAGATCAGGTGATATTGGAGATTGCATGTTAATTTGATTTGCAAAAAAAATTAGGGCTTCATGCGTGAAGTTGAAGGAGAGTATGCAGATGCAAATCAGAGTGCCATTTCCTTACTTGCTTGTTCTATCAATGTCGCCGACATGGAGCAGCCGCTGGTTGTTGCTATTGGCTCAGGTGAACACCTCCTTGCTGGTTATGGTGCTGCCTAGCGTCTGGCAGCGAGGCTCGAAGTAGTGCCTTTGCCTCAACCGCCGCCGGCCACCGCTCGCCGGCCACCGTCATCAACCGCCACGGTGTCGTCGTCCTTCTCCATGGTGTGTCGCCGATCTGTGGGCTAGGATAGTGGATCGATTCAGATCCGAAAAAAAAGTAAAAAATAGAGTGGGGACGAGAGTGGTTGGTTGGGTACGGGAAAAATAGAATATATACCGGAAGTTGTTTTTATCATAGTAAATCATTTACTCCGATAATGGTGGGTGCACGATGTGGGACGTGGGGTGGGATCGGAAGCAGGGGAGTTGTTTTTATTATCGAAGTAAATCGTTTACTCGAATAAAGGTGGATGTTTGAGGCGCACGATAGGAGTAAATCGTTTACTCCGACAACGGTAGGAGTTGGATGACGGGACGTGGGGTGGGGTGAGCCTGGGCTGATGAATATTTGGCGCTTGGAATATTAGGAGCGCGCTGCACTCCTAATAGTAGTTCTATTAAAAGTTTTCAAATCTTGACTTAGAATTTTTTTAAAATTTAAGTTAAAAGTTTCAAATCTTGAGTTAAGAGTTTTAAATCTTAAATTTAAAAGTTTGTTGCAGTTAACCCTCCGTACCTATCCTAATTTTCCGCGTCCTATCCTTAAAAAAAAAAAAGAAATAAAACGTGCTAAAGGTTTTTTTTTTCTTCGTGCTAAAGGTTATTTTTTTTTCTTAGAGAAAAGCGAAAGGAAAACAGAAAAAATGAAAAGCGACTCCGCGCTGCGGATCCCGCGCGCGATTTAATCACCCGCGCACGCGCGGGGTAGGAGCCCAGTCTCCATCTCATTATAATTTAAGCGCCCTCGCTGCGCCGCCGTCGGACGTCGGGATCCCTGCTCCGCCGTGCACGACTCCGTCCGAGGCCACAGGATCCCCACCATCGCACTCCCCAATGACGAGCTACCCGTGAACGACAACGCCCTCTTCAGGAATTTCTTGGCCTTGCTCTCCCCGGCGGCAGCACCATCTATAACTTTCTATAAACGTTTTTAAATCACCATGTGGCACTCCTACAAACACTCCTAGATCGCCACATGTCATATCTCTAAAAAGTTCTACAATTTTAAATACAAAGAAAATATCTAACCGTCAATTTTTACTTAAATCGGCGACCCATTATTTTAGACCATTAAATTAGATCTAAGAAGGCAAATCCCTTCCTCCTAACTCCCGTACATTACAAAAAAAAAAACACTCCCG